GGGGGGGGGGGGGGGGGGGGGGGGGGGGGGGTTGTGATGGCTAATGGGGACTTGAGGGGTGTTAATCACGGCGCATCTAGGAGGGGGCGAGGGTATTTATCCAAACTCCTGACAAAAAATTACACTGTATATATTAGAGTTTTTTAAGTGCGTATATATGTATATAAAAAATTCGAATCTCGTGAACACGAGATTAGAAGTTTGACTTAGTGGTTTAGGAAGTTCAAAATTCACCTTAAGTATTATATTTTTATATTATGAATCCAGGTAATGAAAATCCTGAATCCACGACGGACGGACGAGTGTTAATAATAAGTCAAGAGGGCTAATGGAGGAGAGGTTTTGAAGTGGGAACATGGAAGGTGATGAAGGGAACATTAACATGGGGTGGCAAGATGGAAACACTGGAAAGCCAGCGATGTTTTATTAATTATTTTTTTATTAAGAATTAACAACACATAACGTGAAATGTTATTAGATTTATTATCACACAAATATTCTCCTTACTTGCAATGTGATGTCCTTTTATTTTATTCTTCCTATAACTTGTGGTTTAGGTATCTAGATCACAATTCAACCTTTTTTACGTATTTTTAAAAAATTATAATAAGGAGCTACTATGTCAATTGTTTAAGATTATAAACTCTTGGGATTGATTAAAGTCACTAAACTTTACCTGTTATATCAATACTGAAATCATAAAACTAGCTACTTGCTATATCTCATTAGTATATATTATATGACGAGAAAATACAAACATTAAACAGGCTAAAGTTAACGGTAAAATTAGAAATTTTGAAAAAGGTGTTCAAAACTTTAATTTATATCTTTACAAAGTTATGTTTGATATATATACACAATATTATTATTATTACTATCCATATACACCACTTATAATTTTTCGATAAAAGTGTTCGAGTGACTACCTGAGGTGAATGTAGCCACGCCCCTAGCTAGATCGATGTATTTCATTAAGTCAATTGTTACGATGTTCAAGATTAGTAGACTGAACAACGTTATATTCTTCTAATGAGAGAAAATATAATAATTAGTTACCATAATTGAAGTCAACATGAGAATCCAAAGGAAACTAATTAGTGAAATTGAGGTCAGGTTTGGTGTGAAGTAAATGGTTTTTTCGTAAGTGATGATGTTCTTAATTTAATAGTTAATTAAATGGAAGTAATAATTAGAAGATGATGAATATTATGTCTGCCGCAAAATCTGAACAAAGCATGTGGCTGGGCCATCTTTATAGACTTATTTCTTCGGTTCAAAATAAGTGGTGATTTTATTATTTTATTTTAATTTAAAATAAGTGATATTTTTTATAATAAAGAAGATATTAATGATATATTTTTTCAATTTTATTCTTTTTTAAATAAAGAAAACTCTCCGTTCTGCCCTACTTATTATATAGGTAAGATTTTTATGAGCATGTTCGGACATGTATATTCGACCCTTGCCCTAATCCATAGCTCTTGGAGCAAAATTTCCTTATAGAAGGACTCTCATTTTAATTTCACCTCCCTAACCCCTCTTAAAGGGAAGATGGTTGATTATCTCCGGGAGGAATTCAAATCTAGAGAGATAAAACTCTTTCAAGAAGAAATAAGGCATTAGGCAATCTTTTATGTCATCAATTAACTCCTATTCCCACTTTTCGGGATTTACCTCATCAAAAAGTTATTATAGAGTTACATTTTGGAAGTATTTTTATATTAATTATAGGTAGGTTAGTATATTTTACATTTAGATATAAATAGTTTTTAAAAAAGATATGTTCAAACTAAAAATAATACTATACTTATTTTAAAATGGAAAGAATAATAGCGATTCTCAAATTACTCGCCTTTCCCTAACAAGAGTTTAAAAAGCTAAGGGCTGGCTTTGCTAATAATTTGGATTTCTTTTTTCTATTATCAGTGTGGAAAAAAAACATAAAATATAAGACACGAAATAAAAAAATAATAATAATAATAAAAAGATGAAATGTTTTTAGAATTAAATGTGAAATATCAAAATTATTCCAAGGAGAAAATGTGGCTATTGTGTTTGAAGGGGAAAAATATATGTTTTTTTAATAAATATTCTTTTATCTTTTTTTTTTTTTTGAAATAGAAGATAACATTGTTTTAAATGTAATGTTTTTTGAAGATTATTATTTATTACATTAAATATAAACGTTTCATGTTCTACAATTTTAATATATAAATGTGAATTAAAAATATAAGATGAAATTAATGATATTAATAAATATCAAATTTTGTATGGAATATATTATAATTCTTACCAAATTTGGAGAGTAGTTTTCTAAAATTAGTTGACTTAACTATGGTTATGATATTTGTTAATGTAATATTATCTTGACCTTTAAACTTTAAATATGACACATGTCTCTAATCTAGATGTGGACTTGCGAAATGAAGGGAAGGGGTAATGGAGGGGAGTCGGATCCACTTTTTACTTGACACACTATTAAAAAAAATAATTGACATAACGAGGTTACCGTTTCACACTTATTAATTGATAGAAGTCCAAAATCAATTTACTCATTAAAGAGGTTCTACCTTTTTCAAAAATATTAACTCTCTAAATAAATTAAATTAAGGGTAGATAAAAAAAAATTGTCTTTTCTTTTTACATTTTTCTTATATTTTCTATCAATTAAAATTACATCACATAAATTAAACCGTAATATAAAAACACATTGAAGTAAAATTTAAATTTAGCCTTTTGTTTTGACATTCCAACTCTACAAATGATTGATTCGTTTAAAATAGTATTTATCCGCAACCTAGTAAAATTTAGCGTCTTGACCCTTTTTAGGATTATTTTTCAGTAAATGGTAAATTATTTTATTAAATAGGTCGAAATCTTATATAATCTGCAATTTAATCGGTTCTTGGTGACTTTAGTACATGCAATGCGTTTTTTAAATGATATAAAATTGCTACTTGGAAATTCAAAATAAAATCTTTAATGATCCCTATGATCGTGGGTTGTTTCTCACATGGTTTCACAATTTTATATTCTTGATTTTGAACTTTGACATAGTATGTCTTCATGTTTAAAAAAATTGATAATATCAAGTCATTTAAACAATAATTATTAGTAATTATTTCTAATATATATCTAAGTGAAAAGTTTTTATTTCTTTTTATATCAAGTGGAATTAATAACCTAAAAATATATAAGTATATTCTACTACAACACGTTAAAAGTCTATCCTGATCAATCATTTTCCAATATATACTTGTATTTGATATCGCGATCTACCTCAAAGAGCGAATGAATATAAATAAAATCGTGTACAACTTTACTACCTACTACGTATTAAAAGGCTAACTAGGTTAGGTATAGGTGCACAACAATTAGAATTTGAGTACTATACCATTTGAACTTGGATGAATGAATCCCATATGATAAAAATAATGTGTGAATATTCAGACCATATTAATGAATGCATCACATATATTTGAACATATACAATTATTAATTATAATGATTAATTAATGTATATTTTCACTAATATTAAATTAAGTGTAGTACTTAATACATTATGGTAAAATATACCTTTTTACAAATTAGGCACTTATTTTATCTTTAATGACATGATTTGTCGAAATCTTTATCACCATTTTATTAAATAAAAAAAAGACACGTGAAACTCTCATCACCATTCATTTAAAAGACAATTTCGATACTTTTAATATATTCGACTTACTTATCAAAAATCATTTTACTTTATATAAACACCAACATCTTTTTTGTAGTGCTTGATCAGCTAATGGTGGACTACAAATATCGTTCCTCAAACCAATTGACTTTCCCAAAAGCCACCCCAAATCCCATTTTCTTCTTACATTCAACTCTCTCAGGGTCGTTCGATAAACTATATTACAAAAAATAATGTATGCATTAATTTTTATAGAATGGAGTAAGAAAAAAGAATCGTTTGGTAGGATGTATAATGCATTATTTCGAGACAAAAAAGAATTGTTTGGTAGGATGTATAATGCATTATTTCAAGACGAAGGGAGTATGATTTAACAGAAATAGTTTGTTTCCTTTTTTATCTCTAAAAGTCATTGGTACAAATTCTCCACTTCAAATTCCTCGATTTGTCTACTTATTAATCTCTCGAAATCTTAACCCAATCTTGATTGATCTCTTTCCATCCACTGCTCTAGCAACTACTCTATTCTTCTACTCAAATCAATTTCTAGGCTGGACTTTTATTTAACAATGGGTTGCACCAATTCAAAGCCAAAAGTATGCCAAAAATGCAATGCACAGTATTATTCTCCAGTGCATCGAAGCTACTCGATGAACAAACGTATTCCTATCGATAAAGAAGACTGTAGCATCCACTTGGTCTCTCTCACTTCCTCAACACTAGGATCTTTGAGACTTGATCCACTGAAACAACATATCAAAGATGATGAATTAATGTTCAAAAAAGATGAAGAGTTGGAAATGGGGCTAATTCAGACAAAGACATGGTCTCAAATGATCAATGAGAAAATCCCAAAAGTGATTCCTAAGACTACAATTACAACTTCTCCTGGTGGTGAACCACAGAGTGTCAATGTTTGGGAATTGATGGAAGATCTTGAAGATATTAATCTTCTTGCATCTCCTCATCGTGTCTGTAGATTTTCTTTCGATGTCTTGGATAATCCTTATGATCAGCTTACGCCTCAACTGAAATCAAACTGTGGAGTTGCTGATCTTAAATTGGTGCAACAGAATAAAGACAGAGTGATTTTATACTTCACTAGCCTGAGAGGAGTGAGGAAAACGTATGAGGATTGTTGTCGTGTTCGGATGATTTTGAAGGGACTAGGTGTTAAGGTCGATGAAAGAGATGTATCGATGCATGCAGGGTTTAAGAAGGAATTGAAAGAGTTACTACCAGGGGAAGGATACATGCTGCCAAGGGTATTTCTGGGGAGAAAATACATTGGTGGGGTTGATGAAATATGCAGAATGGACGAAAACGGACAACTTGAGAAGGTAGTAGAAAGCTGTCAAAGGGTAGAAAATGGAGTTTGTGAGAGCTGTGGAGATGTTAGGTTTGTGCCATGTGAGACATGCTATGGAAGTTGTAAAATATACTATGAAGCAGAGTATGATGAAGAAGATGAGTGTGGTTTCCAACGATGCCCAGATTGCAACGAAAATGGGCTTATACAATGTCCGATTTGTTGTGACTAACATTCATCTGGTTTTATGGTGCTATCTATTTAAAAGGACAAAGATGAGCAAAGTTCAAGCCTAAGCTGATGGGTAGGAGCGGTTCTAAGGCGAGTTTTACAGGTTCAACTGAAGCATTATTTTCAGCTCAAACTATGTATACTTATGCAGAACAATTCTAAGCCCTAAGAATTCTAGGTCCTGAACTTTCTTCTGCTGCTGATAGGCAAAGGCTTCAAGCATCTAAACTGATGCAAATATCATCTAGCCAACAGATTATCCAACTTTTACTGCATATTCAACACATTAGTAGCAGTAGTATAATAGTAACACTTATCCAACTGTGAAACATGGTTGATAAGATTAGGTTCAAACAAATACTTTTCCAGCATCTGGCATGAAAGTACCAAGTTTTTTCTGGCGCTAGGACTAGCAAGTCTAGGCAAATTCATAGCAGTAGTATGCGTGCGAATGCAGAATGAACGCAAGTTAACTTTGTCAATAACACGTAGATTAATGAATGATAAAATACCAGCTCACTGAAAAGCATGACATGTATGATCAACTTGTAATGCAATCAAGCGTATTACTTACATTGTACTCCCGTGAGTAGAGGAAATCAAATTGATTAAACCACGGTAATGACTGCACAATACCAACATGTTACCATAAGTATGAATCCTGTTACACCATGTTGTGCACTCTGCTTCAACTAGCTAAAATTGTTCATATTCACATTCATGTCTCCATGGACAGCTTACACCTTTGGACAATTCCATGTGGGCAGACATTGTGTCAGCCCTATTTACCAATTTGGTTCATTTCTATAGGAACTGTTTCTTTTTTGACACCATTGTTACCCAAGTCAGCAGCGACCTTGGCAGCCCGATTCAGAACATCTGAAACCCAAAAAGCTCCCTTGGAGAAGTAACTGCTGCTAACCACAGCGGTTGCAGCAGCTACGGCTGTTTTCCCTGTATAAGATGCAGCGGACATGGTAAGCTCAGAAAGATGGTACTTCTCGTCCACGCACTTAACAGTCTCCAAGCCAGACTGAATTTTATCAGTAAGCCCAACTCTCTTGCTGAGATCTGCCACCTTTGCTGCTGCAGTAGATGACACATGATAAGACTCATCTAAAGCTTTGGCTTTGGTTAGCGCATCCTTACTTAGTTGATATCCCTTCACTATCATGGTTTCAACTACCTGCTGTGCCATGGTCACAGCTTCTCCAGGAGTTGAAACAAACTGATTTGTATGGACCTGCTAATTTACAGAAAGTTTTCAAAATGACATCAGGGAAGCTAAGCAACAACAACATACCCAGTGACCATTGACCAGTGTAATCCCACAAGTGGGGTCTGGGGAGGGTGGTGTGTACGCAGACCTTACCCCTACCTTGTAAAGGTAGAGAGGTTGTTTCCGGAAGACCCTCGGCTCAAGTAAAGCATCAGGGAAGCTAAGGATAAAAATAAAACTGGAAAACAGTGGAATAAAAAAGAAGGAAAAAAGTGAGTTGTTTGAAGAATTAATTTGTTCTTACATCTCCACCAACATACCTCAGTCAATAGGTCTTAGAACCTTCTGAATGAACTTTCCCCAAATTAACTAACAAGAGTCGAACTGAATTTTAGGGAACTCAATAATTGTGATAATGTACAAATATTTTTATCAAGGAAAGAATAACGAAAGGAAAAGAAGAATAGTAAAATAAGCTATTTAATTACATATCCTCAGCTCTAGAGCTCACCAAAGAAAGAAAATCATGATAAGCTCAGTTCACAAATTGGATACTATTAGCCGTGCAAACTGTCCCTTAAGAGCTAATTAATCTCAAAAGCAGAGCTGCCACTGAGATCATACTCCTATTAATTTACCGATGAATGATATAACATTTTTATTTTCATTTACCCTCATAGACAGGCAGTAAGAGAATTGATTGTCCAGACAAATAAGGCAAAACTTTAACTGAAAAGGAGATCAAATGGGAAAAGCCTACCGCAGAGCTGCTTCCATTCTCCACCTTATCTATATAGTTATTCCAAGGATCGTCTTCATCTACATGGGCTTCCAAGCGAGATATACGAACACATTGATCTAGTATAGTGGATCCCTGAATCAAGGCTAAAAGGTTAAGAATTTTTTTATAGGTGCAAATTTGAAACATAAAATTAGCTGTATGAATTTATTGAATGCAGTACTAGCACCACCTAAGGAATAAATCTAGCATTTCACCCAATGCACATACTATGTCCTAAAAACAGAGAGAACAAGGAAAATGAAGAAAAAGAGCACAATGACGAGAAAACTAGATAGGGAATTAAAAAGAGCACAATGACGAGAAAACTAGATTGGGAATTAAAACATTAATTTTTTTATTATCGTGGTGTTCAGGCCAGCTACATGCACCTTGCCTAATTCATGAGATACCTGCCACCTCCCATGAATTAAAACATTAGTTTCAAATATAAAAGCAGAAAACTGGTATATACAACTCAAGCACAAGTACCAAGACGTCTCTACATGTAGATAGTGAATAGAAAAATGATATATCAAAAAGATTAGTTTGCAGATTCCCATGGCCTAGAATCAATGATCTACTACATCTATGGTTGGTGGGTACACAAATAACTAGCAGCTTTGTTCAAAATAGTTATATTTTACCTAATTACCTTTTTCAAAAATTCAAAATATACAATCACATATTTACATGGTGAAAATACAAGATAGATCATATTAACTCGTTGCAACCATAGAAACCTAAAGGAATGTCAAGTAGTCAAATGTATTTGGAATTTAAGCATCCTTTTGTGCTATCACTCAGAATTGTTTGTCTCTAGGTTAAACTAAACCAAATAGAATGACACATAGGTAGTGGGAATATAGTTTACCACCAAAGCTCATCTCACATAGCATCGATTGCTCTTATAGAGTTTCTTTTCTCCTAAAAAGGAATAAAAGCAAATGAGGGTCAAGGTTATAGAAACCTTGTAGGTAGTAATGTACTGAATGATACTGGATTTAAATACAGTGTATCGTGTCAGAGATAAAATTGATCACATTATTAAGAGAGATATTAGGTTTAAAGAATTGGCACAACAGATGGAGTCCACATTGCATTTGTTGCGGATATAAATATATATTTAATAAGAACATGTCCAAATATGATAGCACATCAGAGCTCTTTAAAAGGACCTTCTAGGTGGTTGCACAAAGGCTGTTAATTTGTGTTCAGCTAGAAATCAAAAGGCTCGAACATTTATAAGTGAAAAGAATGAGACAACAATCTTAATTAAAAGTTCAAAACACTACGAAGAAAATTCATGACTAAGGAATGTAGATATAAATATAATATTTTTCATTGATGCTTCTAAAGCTCGAGTCTAGAAAGTTACTGCAAGCACCTATTTTGGTAGATAATTGACTACTCTCTCCCTGGTTAAACAAAGAAATTATAAGCTTCAATAAGCATTAAACAAGCCAATAAAAAAATCTTTTTGATGTTCATCATGGTGATGATGAGTATAAACTTGACTCAGTAGCATATAGATATGCAGCATTGACTATGTAACGCCATTCACCTTGGAGGTTCTTTCTGCTAAGTAGAACTAACATAAAAGTGGAGTAAAGCAGAAACTTACGCTGAGTAAAATGGCAGTTTCCAGTGCATAACTATCCTTGAACGTAACATAGGCTATAGAAGCATATTCACTCAATCTGCATTCGATAAAGGCAACACTTGAAATCAGGAAGGGTTAAGAACATCCATCTTTTCTCACCCAGCTTAATAGCATTGAACTCTCTCCATCTGTTACTTTTTTTAAAGTTTAAACATCGTTTTTGACGAAGAAAGTTTGGAATGCCCTATAGTGAGTTTCAGGACATTGAGATGATATGCTTCACTACTCGCAATGGGTTGTCAACAGCAAACATTATCGGATCCTAACCTTGCTCTCTCTACACAAACATCTCAGAAATTATAGTAACACATAAGCTCTTGTTGACATTTCATAATGCTCTGAAGAAGTCACATGGAAAAGAGTGGCAATACACGTCTTATTTGACATATTTCATAAGGCAGAATTGCAATAGGACATGCAAACAGAATACTATTGATTAAGCATGTATATCAACTATTTCATCTTAGATAGACAAATTTTGGGAACAATCGCCAAGCATAAATTTACAGCACCTACAATAATCAGCTTGAAATGACAACTATGCTGTAGCAGAATTTGCAGGTAAACTCAAATAAATGAAACGCTACCTGATGATCTCTACTTGTTCAATTTCACCACAGTGAGAGAAAAACTCATCGACATCTTTCTCTGTAGCTTTGGTAGAAAGACTCGTGACTTCTGCTGTGTAATGACCCAAATACATGGATAGAGACACGGTTCAAGTCCCAAGTAAAGGTGGCTTAACCTGATTAAATCAAGAAGAATAAATCATTCAAATTTCATAAGAGCTAAAATATAAAAGTTAACTTAAATTCATTGATTTATCATCATGTCAATACTTCTCAATCCATGGCTTGTCGAGGCCACTTTTAAGGGAAAGAACATTGAAAAAATTAAACAGATTCGATCTTTAAGATCCTTGTATAGACATGAAATAATATATGATCAAGATATTCATTTCCAAAACTCCTTTATATCAGAAATATTATTCTTATCAAGTTAAATAAAGACAAACATATGCTTTAGGATGTAACATCTGCAATTATCTTGAAATAGAAGAACAAAAAAAGATACCTTATGAAGATCAATGATATTTTTTGTATGAACAAGTAAGAAGCACACACAAATAGCAATTATCTTTATCAGGTTAAATAAAGATAAACATATGCTTTAGGATGTAACATCGGCAATTATCTTGAAATAGAAGAACAAAAGACGATTTTGTATAAAGATCAATGATATTTTCTATAGCACAGCTCCCAGATTAAAAAAGGGTGTTCCAATAACTTTATCAGCTCAACAGTGCTAAGTGCATTCTGGCTATTGAAATAGGAAATATAGTAATTTAATCACTCAGATAAAGCCAGTAAGCCAATATTCTTCACAAGATCTCATCACAAATTTCAGTTAGCTCTCCAAATAGTATAATAGAACACTTCAGACTAAAGACTAGTAAGAGATCTTCATAGCCTGTCGTTATATATATCCGTAATATTCATTTCTCTCTATTCAAGCCCATTTCATTTTTAAATATGTTTTAAATAATCATAGTGTCTAAGCCAACTTGCACACGCCTTAACTAATTCCACGAAAGATGTGTCACCTCCCACCAATAATAATAACTCTATACACCAACGCTACAACATATGGAAGAAATCACCTAGTGTTTTAGTGTCTCTAGTGAGAAGGCTACGACAGATGGAAGAAATCAGCTAGTGTTATACTGTCTCTAGTGAGATTTGAATCCGAAACCTCATAATTCATTCTCAACTCACTTCATTGACCACTACATATGAAAGAAATCAGCTAGTGCTATATTGTCTCTAGTGAGATTTGAATCCGAAACCTCATAATTCATTCGCAACTCACTTCATTGACCACTACATATGAAAGAAATCAGCTAGTGTTATACTGTCTCTAGTAAGATTTGAATCCGAAACCTCATAATTCATTCTCAACTCACGTCATTGACCATTACATATGAAAGAAATCACCTCGTGTTATACTGTCTCTAGTGAGATTTGAATCCGAAACCTCATAGTTCATTCTCAACTCACTTCATTGACCACTGGATCACACTCATGCGTGTTTCAAGCCCATTTCATATTATCACTACAATACTCAAATTTATTGACTTTGAAGAATAATTAGGAGATCCATGAGATTTTCAGAATCTCATACTTGCAAGAATCTACAATGATTTTTTATAAAAGTTACTAGATTTGTGTATACATATTAGGTTAAAGTGAAGAAATTTCAGCACCAATAAAACCTTAGGATAATTGAATTTACAGATACATCTAAGTTCAATAAACAAACAGATAATCATATATTAAAAAGGAACTTTAGGCATCAAAAAGGTTTACAAATTAGAATCGCACCTGATAATTAATGATGATAAGATGGTCAAACCGGAACAGAGCACTCAGCCGCGGATGAGAAAGACGGAGAAATTGTAAACAGATAATTCTATTTTTACTAGAGGTATTTTTTAACAAGGGCAATTTGGTAAACATAATGAAGTGTTCACTCGGGGTCGTTTGGTACAAAGATTAATAACGCAGAAATTAGTAATACAAGATTAATAGTGCAGGGTTTATTTCTATCAAGTTTTGGTACATTGTTTCCCACCTCATCTTGTATTTGGATTAAAACTCTATAAAAAAACTTATTTCGAATGATACCCTTGAATTTTTATGTAATTAGGTCAAGATAAATAACTGTCGGACAATATTATTTTTTATGTCCTTCTAACTAGCTATGAAAAGAACAATTTTGTTGTTATGTTTGCTATTTTTTCACTTTAATTATTTGAGGATAAAGAATTGTCATTTAATAAAGAAAAAATGGTCAAAAATATACTTAAACTATGAGAAAGTACCAAAAATGTCTTTTGTTTATAGTTTGGTTAAAAAATGTCCTTGGTGTCAATACTTTGGTTCAAAAATGTCCTTACAGTCAATACGTTGGTCCAGGAATGCCCCTATAGTTACTAAATGGGTCAAAAACATCTTCTTCCTAATTAAAATATTATTAAAGAACCATGTTCTTGTTTTCTTTCTTTTATAATCACTTTAACAAATAAAAATGTAAGAAATATTTTTTTTCTTTTTAATCTCATTTTATCAATTAAAATAGAATAATTTCATGTACCCTTTTGATAGATAATATATGTCATTTATATAAGATCATAGTATATCCATCATTAATTTATATTTATATAACAATAAATATAATTATAATAAAATTAGAAATATTTTCATTTTTTATTTTCTTTTCTGAATTGAAGTAAGATACATTTGCTAATTTTAAAAAATATTATTAGAAAAAAAATGTGTTAAAAAGAAAATAAATAATATATTTATTTGAAAAATGAGTATTTTTGATTCATTTAATAACAACAAGCACATTTTTGGACCAAACTACAAACAAAAGGCATTTTTGTTCCTTTCGCATAATTTAAGGGCATTTTTTATCCTTATCCCTTTAATAAATTGATCACTCACAAAGTGTCACTTTTCAATATATATATAAAAAAAAAGATAAACCATTTACTTTTAAAATCGAAAAGACGGCCAACAATGGTAAAATTGAATAAACCATCTACATTTACACATAAAAAATGCAAGTTGTAATTTTAATATGTATGTAATTTTTAAATTGTTCAAATTACAAATAATTAGAAAAATCACACAAATATATATTAAGATCACAAACGTCATATTGTGATATATTTATTTTTTTAATTAATAAATGTTAAACAACTCACATTTCAAATTTGCATTGATTTGTATTGGATTTATTTTGTAACAAATAACTCTCTCAAATAATTTGTAAGCTAATTTATTTAAATAAATTTACTAGTACAAATATAAAAACTAAAAAAACTAAAAATAGACAAAATAATTAAAATACTTTGAGGGATATTTTTGTCTTTACATAGACTTATCCCATGGTATTATATCCTATGAATTACTAATATCTCCAAATGGAAGGTATTAGTAATACATCTTATAATACCATATAGGATGTATAACTAATCCATGAATTAGTTATACATAGACCCAAATTCCTACCAAACATAGTACTAAATAATATCATACATAATACATGGATTATTTCTTTTAATGCGGCCTACCAAATGATCCATTATTTCTTAAATTCGTGTCCTGACAAAAAAGTCACATAAAATGAAAATGGAGAGGGTATAGTACTATTTCCTTAGTCCCATTTTATATAGCACATTTTCCTTTATAATCTTTCTTGTAAAAAAAAAATCATATAATTAGAAATAATTTAACTTTAAAATTCTTTTTTTACTTTTAATGAAATGAAACTCTACCACACAAATATCCAAGAATTATTTTAGATCACAAATTTTAAAAAAATTTATTTTTTTAAACATCGTATCAAGTCTAAGATGCCACCAAAAATGAAACGAAGGTAGTAATATTTTATTGCATTAAAGCAATGAGTGGTCAATTGTTTGTTTGCAACCTTTTGACGAGCTTAACCATTGGCTAAAATATTCCCTCAATTTTTTTTTATTCTATAAAAAATAATCTTCTTAATAAAAATTATTTATTTTTTGTTTAAGTACCATAGGAAATTACTCAACAACTTTTTACAAGAGTGCCCTTGGAAGTCTCTTAACAATTTTTTACAACAAAATAGTCACTTAAGTTTGCCTAAACATAATAAAAGATGTCTTATTTATTTCTTTGTAGTGATTTTCTAAGATACTTAAAAAGAGTAATTTAAAGGCCCTTTTCATACTTAAATATAATTGAGTATTTTTTTTGTATAAAATAATTTTATGACTTAAAGTAATAAATAAACGTTGAATGACTATCTATAAAATCTACCGTAATTTCGTGCTTTAATATGTAATTTTTGACTTTTTGTGAGTGCGAGTTCTTTGCATAGTCTATGCTTTTTATTTTAGTGTCAAAATTTACTTGTATACACGGTTTTTATAAGAAAATGTGATGTTTTAAGTTAAGTTTGGTATGGAGGATATTTTAAAAATATCTTTTTTAGAAAAATAAGTGCTCGAGAATCTGAAAATAATTTGAAGCATAAAAACACAAATGTTTAATGAATAGCATTTCAAGTTCACGGGCTCTTTGCGTCCTCTTCACCCCAATGCTCCCAACATCTACCCTTTGACCACACCCCATAAATCATAACGTTGTTTTTCTGCATTACATAAATATATATTTAGAATGTTTTTATTTAATTATTAAATAATAAAAAAGATTATTTTTCAAAAAATACTTATTCTTTTTTCTCAAATAAATACTTTGTATAAAACACACACATAAAATCGTTTCAATATAGGTACTAAATCTTCCGAAATGCAGACCTAAAAACAACTAATTTAACCTTATTAAAGTTGCTTAAACTACAAATTTCATACAACTTATGATTATCAGCCAGATCGAATGTTGTATATTGCAAGAATTAGATAAAGAATAAGGATATGTTTTTTGAAGAAAAAAAAGGAGTATTGTGCAATAATTACTTTTTAAGAAACAAAGGAGTACGCATTACCAAAGTCTAGAAGCATTTAGACTATTTCACCTCTCTCCTGGTGAATCTCGCTCGTCACTCTCGTTTTCTCCCTCGCCTCTCTCATTTTTTATACAAACACAAGTGTATAAAGTGCGTTTGTGTTTGTATAAAGTGAGAGAAAATTATATATATACATATATTTTCGTTCCCCTCTCCTAGATCTCGCTC